GTGTCAGCATCGGGAAGTAATTCTTCCAAAGCCCTTGATGGTTGCGCCAAAAAAGCCAAAGCTGATAAAAGTGATACTAAGCAAAGTGGCTCTCCTGAAAAAATGGAAACTACCAAAACTGAACTGTCTCCGGTAAAGGTTTTAAGTAGTTGCAGTAAACAGGCAAGCAGTGAAATTGACAAAGCACCTACAAATCCTGAAAAAGTAAGCCCTGGAAAACCTCTGGAGTCTGTAATGCAAGAAACTGATATAAAACAGAAAATAAATAAAAAAGCAGTTCTGGAATCTTGTATTGCAAAGTCAGAATATGTGAACACCTTATGCAAAAAAACGGATGCGCCTAATCCAAATAAAACAAGTATAAGCTCGGAAAAGGATATGAATAAATCGACGCAATTACTACAAGTTAAAGAAGAAGAAAAATCAAATTTACGTGCCTCGTCATCTTCATTACCTATACGAGATAAAATTCAACTTAAAAACAACGAACATTCTCAGTTACAAAATCCAATACCGTCTCAGTTCCCAATAAATCAAATGCCTAACTACCATCATACTTCTCAATATTGGCAGTGGGACTATTACAGCTATAATCTTTGTAATTTGGACCCAGCATCGCAAAAGGGTCAAAAACAGTTTCATAAAGACCTCGCAACGACTATGGCATATACACATAACTTTACACAAAACCTATACCAATCGGCTAATTTAGCAATGCATGCTCATCACCAAATGCACCATACAAAGGATAAACAGAAGGTTGACAGGAAAGTTGCAGGAAAAAAAGAAGATTTGTCAAAACAAGTATCCTCGAATAGCACTGTCAATACATTACGAGATGAAGGACATACACTTAATTGTAATGATTATAATGTTAACCAATCGAATATGTTTGATCAGAAGTGCACCAACCAACAAAAGTTGTTTAAAACAACCGCTGATCACACACAACAAGTAAAATCCATAGACAATGCGCAGAACACTATAACCAGACCTACGAATTCTAACCAAGCAGAATCAACAATTTTAATATCAAGTTCATTGAGCCGGGAATCATCTTCCTCCTTGCCCACAAAACAAAAATCAGAACAAAGCGGTAACATAACATTAGATGCTTCGCGAGAGGAGAAAATTAAAGTAACACAACCAATCTTGCAATCAGTTAATCACTCAAATTTGCAAGTCGGCGGTCAGCCTGGTGTAAATCCAAATATGGCATACACCTCAGAATCATCATCTAACGTGCCTATACAGCATTATGACTGCGGAGTAAATGTGCAAATAAATATGGACTCTCCCGCTGGTATTGGGAGTGCTGTTAATCATGGATCTGAAAACACCAATGGACTTATGCACAGACAGTTTTCTGACTGTTCAATGCAAAATCAGTCAGCAACAACACCTATGCACATGTCAATCCAAAATTCACATATCCAACAGCAAAACAATATAAATATGAATTTGCCTCCAGAGGGCTCTCCAAACTTGAATATAATAGGAAATTCACAACATCAACATCAAAATAGGAAACTAACTGTGCAGGTAATTATTAAACAATATTACTAATCTTATAAATAGAACAAGCGTCCTCGGGAGTCGCGAGTGCCCTGGACCCAGCACCGATCTGGTGCTCAAACGTTCTTCCTTCCAACAAGCACACATTCCGCTAATAACTATTTTATTTTACTGCTGTGCTTCTTCTATTATCTCCTAGTCGGGTACTTTTATCCTGTGCACAAAACATTACATAGAACTGTTTTTATAAATTTCAACAACAAATACTAAATCTTAATGTGATTGGTTTATTTTCAGCCGGATATCGTTGCGAATTCTCCGTCAACATCACATCGAGAACCTACACCCAAGCAAATTCGCAATAGCAATTCATCAAATAATTCTCAGCAGCGTGATGCTAAAGTTCCAACAGGAGGGACTTCTCAAAATTCTCATCACCAACACTCTCAAAGCACTGTTTCAAATATATCTAAAGCTCAACAAGATGGAATTGGTAGCTTACAGTTTGCGCAGTCAAGTGGACAGCACGGTCATCAGCAGAATATGCAACCTTTGGATTACATACCTATTCCGCAGATTACTCAAAACTTTTCGACAAACCCATCAAATTATGACATAGTTGGAATGCCAGCTGTGATTCAACAGAGAATGTCGCTAAATAGCTCAGTTCACTCCCTTTCAAACTCTCACCAACGCATTGAACAGCCGTCATCAGCTTGTGCTGTAAATAATTTCTATTTACAAAATAACATGCCATCAAATGACATTGTGTCAAACACATCTCGTATACCGGTCGCCACTTCATTAGGGCCCCCATCGTCCGTAGCTAATAATGAACAGTCCATATCATCAAACAGCGGTGGCACCACATCAGCTTTAGTTGGACATTTATGTAGTCTTTCAAAACTTCAACAACTTACTAATTGCCTTGAATCTCAGCCGTGTAATACATCCCCAGGAGCGCAAACGAATTTAACACCGTCGCCACACCACCCGATTCCACCCAATTCTATGACCCCTCCTCCACATCTATTAATGCAAAATAGAAATGTTTCTACACCTCCAAATATGCTGCAAACACAAGTGACACCTTTACAGTATAAATATTACACTAGCAACATGAACATAACGCCGAGCACAGCAGCTCAGAACACTAATAGAAATACTCGAAACACGCCGTCCGCCCCCATACAACACTCTTCAGCGGCAATTAGCAGCAGTTCGAATAATCGCACAGCCAATGTGCACATTAGTCCAAATCTTATGTCACATTATGGGGCCATCAACAGCTACAGAATGTCGCCTCAGCAGAGTCCTCCCACATCAGCTTATAGTTCGGGTGGTGAATATGCAAATTCTCAGCTTCCAATGCAAATGGGCGTTATGAACATGCAATCTCAGTATCAAGACGCATGCGTATTGCAAAGGGCTACTCAACCTAATCCGATGTATCCCACATATTCGCCATACTTGCCGTTGAACAGCTCAATACGCAGATAAAAAAAAAGTTCATCATACACAAGGTATTATATAAAATAATATAAATTCTACCTATTTGTATTGTGTTGTGAATAAATATAAATTCTGTGTATTACAAATATATTAATTTAAAATACCTATTTATTTATATCGGACTAATATATCATGTAGGATGAATTTTCCAACTATTGGGGTTTCGAAGATTGCTGTTTTTGTCATTGCATTGCAATATATTTGTTTAATCTTAATACATTAAGTACTATATCTTCTAAGAATATCGGTAAAATAACTTATTCAACTTATTATGGTAAAATACATATTAAACCCAACATTCACTAAAAATATGTTATAAGAGCTAAATAAAATTGGGGAACTTATAAATGGGCGCAATATTCAGCTTTTACTTTATAAATAATACTTTTTTTATTACCGGTTAAATTTTTTATTGGCTGATTCGAGCCAACTTTTCAACTTTTTATTTTAATACATTTTTCTTTATCTTCAAGGCCAATTGCGTTTTAGACAGCCTGCGTAACGCGCCAATCACAGATACTTGGTTTGTTGGCTCTTTTTTTACCGCAGCGAGTTGACTAGCCTACCAATATAAATTTGATGTTATATAGAAGTCCGATTGGTAACATAAAGCTGCGGTCCGTCCGAAAGCTCTTCCTGAGCCCTCTATCGAACATCCTCATATGCTCTCAATGGGAGTGAGCGTGGCTCGATCTTCAAAGAAGATTATTATTAGTTATTTTTCGGATAAATTTTGTGAACTGAAGTGAATTGTGGGATTCCCCCAAACATGGTGAGTGTGGTCAAGGTTTCTTTATATTTTATCTGACACGGTGTTTGCTTTTGTTTTTTTGCAATATACCACCTTGATCAAAATGTTCCCGAAATAGCACCGTGTGGCGCTCCCATCGTTTCGGTTTGAGTTATATTTATTTTTTGTTAAGTTGGTACATCTGTTGTTGATACTCCATCTAAATTTTAGCATCATCCTCTGACATTTGCACAAGTTACGGAGCCAAGAGTACATCCATCTCTGTGTGTTGGCAATTTTTTACAATTTTAGAAACGGATTTAAATTTGCAACAACGAACATGTATTAATTTTTGCGTAAAAAACGGTGCGCGAACGTTGGAAACGTTGGAAAAGTGTTTCGGCTGTAGAGTATCAATAATTTTTTCCAGAAGGCCAGACGCTTGCGTTAAGCAATTCGCCGAATTGTGAAAGTACGTCCTCCTAGTGCCCGCGAACGGTTTTAAGCAAATCTCTTAGCTGTTAACTGTCGAGCTTCTTTAATTATTTTTTATGTTACAGCTTAATCATACCTGCAGCTTTTGGTATTGCTAGCGGAGGCTTCAGGGTATGTCCTAGTCGGAAACTCCCGACTAGTGCATCTTAGATGTTTAGTAAGTTGCATGGTACGAAGCAAAGCAGAAAATACACGAAAGCAAGTGAAATTCGCCCATGCATGTGATGTTATGGTCCGTGGCACAAACAATTTAACGAGTAATAATGACATGTTTGGAAATACTGAACGCAAAGATACCCCACACCAAAAGGTAAGACATGTTTCAATATCAACTTTATTTGCATTATCAACTTTCATTATCAACTTACCTGCAAATACATATTTTTACGAATCAACTAGTTTTAGGACATACAAACAGGATTTATAAATTATTTACTATGTACATACTCAGATTAGCATAGAAGAACTTTCGTAAAACTAAATATTTAATTAAAAGTTATACGATTCCGATGCTCATCTAATTTTATCAAATGATGGGGAAGTAATTAAAAATAAACAGCAAACTCTTGTTATTTATATTTATAAAGAAATATAATTATATTTAAAAAGATATATAAACTTAAAGGGTATACTTGTTGGAAATTCATTTAAAACTTGTTGCTCTGGTGCTGATTAGTCTTAAATCTCTCTCAGTGAGAAGCTGTTCAGCATGTTCACAACACTTTTTCAAACATTTAACATTGTCCATATATGTCTTGGTAAATTTATCATTTAAATACATTTTTTATAAAATAACAATATGGGACCAGCTCTGTGCTTTACATTTTAGAAATGAAATATTTTATCCATTTAAAAATACGTTTAAAGTCCATTAAACAAAAAACCAACGGATTCCGCCCACGTTAGTCTTGTGGTGAAAATCTTGAAGTCGCAAAATAAACTTTCGTTCATTAAACATTAAACCCGCATTTTTCATATAAGAATAGTGGATTTCTCGAAAAAACTTATCAAATAAATTAACACAAGGATTTTTGAATTTAATTTTGAATGAACAAGCTGCGGCTGGAGTTTTTAAATTGATGAAACATATATTTAATAAGTAGGCCGTTTAATATACGCTGAACCCCTTGAGCTAATCTCTTGGGTTAGACCCTAGAGCTAGAGTCACCAAATGTAGCTTCTTATAAGTCCCATACTTTTAACTATTCCTTCTTCATTCATTTGCTTGGTAGAGATTAGAAGGCACTGATCGATTCCAAAATAAATCATTAGGCAAACGCACTCATAGCGCGAGCTGTGTTTGGGGTTGCTGTGGTTCAGGGTATCCCCTAGCGCCTCTTAATTGTGTTTATTTTATCATTGTGTTTATTTTTTTGTAATACTATGTTCATTTTGTTTCAGGGACAATTACTCTTTTATTTATTACGAGTGTTTTCTCAGACAATATTCGGCAAAATGCAGGGGTATGTATAACAATGTGTTTAAGTTAAGAGCATTTTTTACAGCTTGCATCCATTGAATTATCCTTTTATAACTAAATATGCGGCTCAATCCGTCACAAAAGAAAAGTGGAATGCTTAATGCGATTGAAAGCTTAATAAACTGCATTGTTTGACAAAAGTCTGATTGCCTTGCGATCCAATAAACAAGTCTAATATTTCTATTCTTTATATTTCAGATGTGGTCTTATGATCCACAGGCTTTTCTTCTGTACAATCAAATTAGTAATAAACACCCAAGTCAATATAGAAAACTGTACTGGTATCCGACTAGAATGCCAACCATGCCCACCCAAAAACAACGTGTGGGAAAATTTTTAGTTACGCATGGATATGCGAGTGTACGGGAACATAGTCCATATAATGGACTCCAAATAAGGTATTTATCAACATTACAACTTTTTTTTTGCGATAAAAAACATTGAGATTTCGATGGGCTTATCTAAGTTATATAAATTCATAACGTTATTTTAATTTTTTGGCTTTTAGGAACACGTTTAAGAATACTTACGATGGTTATTTGTCACCGCAAGTTCTGCGAACATATTTACGATCTGCTAAATTACCTACGACATCAGCAACAACGACAACAGTAAATACAAATTTAAAAAATATTCATTCAGACTATAAAAGCTTTACAAATTGTAATGAACTTACTAATCTAACATTGCCTGTGAACAGAAATAACGCAAACGTTTCAAATTATTTTAAGGCTGCCGAAAGTATTTCAAACATTATGCCAAAAAATAACGCGACATATGAACCATTCGTAGCACATACGTACTTTACTCTCGATGATGTCATTGTGCCCTATTCAACTGAAAACTTCAAATATAAAGCAAATCAGGAATATATGAGCGAAAATAAATTGAAACCCCAAATCGTTGCTCAAGACAAGCCACTTGCAAATAAGTTCACTGTCAAGATGCTGGATGATGATATTCATAAATTTGAGCCAATAAAATCCACTGAAACTATTATTAAGACAACAACTACGGGAGTTCCACATGTCAAGATGCTGGATGAATATTTTCATAAATTTGAGCCAATAAAATCCACTGAAACTTTAATTGAAACAACAACTGCGGGACTTCAAAATGTCAAGATATTCGATGATGATATTTCTGAATTTGAGCCAATAAAATCCACTGAAACTATTATTAAAACAACAACCGCGGGACTTCCACATTTAAATTTTCTTACAAAAGTCGAAACGAACATACGCAAAGAAATTGTTAATTTAACAACATCAAATCACACAGGAGCAACAAATATACCGAATGCAATATTAAATAAGACAAACAGTATCTCAAAAATAAATGTTTCACCCCGTGAGCATATTAGACTATATACCTTTAATAAGAAAAAGTGCGATACCTGCAGAAAAAGCCAGTTAAGCAGTGAGAATAAATCATTAAGCAACCTCACCCATTATAATGAAAAGCTATTAAATGGTCATTCGACAAAGAACGCATCAAAAATTATAAAAAAGGACAATCGTACAGATAATAAATTCGTTTCCCTTAGAATTAAAAAAACACAAAACCAAACAAATATCGGGCTTCTTAATTCCAAGCCCATTAGCACTACCGAATCTCCGCAATTCAAAAATATAAATAAAACAAAGCATTTTTATTTAAGACGTCGAAAATTGCATGCCAATGCAACAGTATTAAATGCATATAATTTGACACAAGCAAATACTAATAGCTCAAAAAATATAAAGCCCCAGATAGAAGAACCCCAAAACAACTTTACCGACAGGCGAAAATTACGCAACGCACAGCTATTGAATGCAACCACAAACGTTATTTTGGCTCGTTCAAACGCGAATAACGAAGTTACAGCGCTTGCAGAAGAATCTGCTATTATGACAATATCGAATAATAATGGCAAAAGTAACAGAAAGTTACATTTATTAGATGCCCCGGTTATAAACCATCCGAACTTCGCGCATACCACTGATTTACCAAAACTCCCAATCGAAGTTTATTTTACGAAACTTAACCAAAACTGATTTGACCGCAAACACTATGCACAACAAATTAACCAATATCTATTAACCAAAGATTCAATAAATTAATAATTTTAATAAATTTGTAAATTTTTTTAATATATTTATTTGTATACTCTGAACCCATTAAAGTTTATATATTCTTGATCAGCATCAGTGGCCGAGTCGATCCAGGCATGTCCGTTTGTCTGTCGGTCCGTCCGCATGTATGAACATAGGTCCTTCTAGTGCCCGCCCAGTCCGAGTTACTTGCCCTGCTTTCAAACAATCGATAAGAATCCTTATCGAAATCCTGTTTTTTGAGCCAATCTGTTAGGTTTTAAGAGCTAGAGTCTCAAAATTTGGCATGTAGCTTCTTGAATATCTATATATATATCATTGCAATTGCGATTGTATTGTATTCTGAGGTGTGTTTATGTGCTGCTATTTAAATTCGCTATTTTATTCGCAAAAATATAGAAATTCGCGTCTGAACGAAGATAATAATAATGTTTATTAGTACATTAAGTCACCGAAAACAAATTGTTCACTGATAATTGTCAAACAATACACACTTAACAATCTGTTTTATATGCTGGACCATTAGTTCATTAATCAATAGTTTAATAAGCTCGCATTCTTTATAAGGATGGCTTTGCCAGCGTTCGTCTGCATTATATTCTTCGGTATTCGTGATTTTTTCAAAACGATCGTGACTAGCCAAGTGATTTCCAGAGTGCTTTTGACTGATTTTCTTCACTGAATTATTTGTATTTTCACTTCTGCATATTGAAAGGGGTCTGCAACGCAACGAGCTTAGAATATTGGGAAGAGAACTCGAACATTTCACATTTTTAGACTCTTTCTTAATAACTTTCAAATGACTCTTCAGTGCTTCAAAAGTCATATCCAGGATAAAGTGCTTGTATATATTAGAATAGGATCCCTCTCTTTTACTTAAATAACATACTTTGAATAGGATAAAATACAAAAACATAACTACCAAATTGACAAGTTTTTACTTACCCGAAGATGGAGGAAAATGGACAGGCTCTTTATTTAATAGAATTATTGTACTCAGAAAGCATCGTAAAGCCCAATTTAGAAGTTCTCGAACGCATGCATGGGGCAAACTTTTTGCATTTTGGACGACTTCCTTAAATATTATAAAAAAAAAAGTGAATTTAATTTCAGGCAAGTGGAAAAACTATCTCAAACTCTGACTATCCATGTAAGGAGGTAAATAAAATTATTTACTTACATCTATACCAACTGCGATCTCTCTATCCGCAAATATATTTTTCTGTGGACACTTCTCACACTTCATTTCAAGAGGGCTGATAATCGGATGACATTTAAGAGTTGTAGGTTTCGCAATTAGTCTTAAAACAGAATTATCGTTATATAATTTTCTTGTCGCTGCTTGTTTAATAAAGTTTCTTTCGTTTAGATAAGTTTTTTTTAGTAATAAGTTTCGACTGATAAAATTCGCAGCAACAAAACTTGTATATGAAAGTGTTCTCTTATCTTTGAATTGGAGATTATTTTGAAAAATTAGAAGTTTATTAAGTTGTTTCCAGAACTTCTTTGACTGTAAATTACAAACAATTTGTTTACAGATCGTTGAGCTGGATATATCATGCGTCAATAGTATGCAACGCACAAATTCTTGGGTTAAGTCCGTAGAGGTATTTCCTGCAAACATAGGTAAATAGCAAGGCCTATGATATCCCATTGTATTTCTTAAAATTGACTGGCTTTGTGAATTTTCAGCGACTAAATTTGACTTGTTCCGATAAAAGCGCAGTAATCTAGAAAAAATGTTTAAAAACAAAAAGCCAATGAAGGCATACTTTTTATGAGAGAAGAAAATTGAGAGATATATTAAATCCAAGTAAAAAATAATCAAGAATATCAAAAGGAAATATACTCCTTTATAGAAAACAGCCAGTTATTTCAATTTACTTGAGATATAAGAATAAATGGAAACTAGGAAACTCGGAAAGCAACTGACAACAGTAAAAAGGAGGCATATGTGATGAGGTTTTGTTTTGTTTTTCGTCTATTTATATAATATTTTTAAGCAGCATACCTTTTTAAATATTGACGTTCCTCTTCCATTTTGAGCATAAGTCGTTGCTGTTTTTCTTTAACTTTTAAAATTTTTGCCAGAAGTCCTTTAGACTTGAACCGTTCCTTTTGTATTTCAAACCAAGAAGTCAAATATATTGTTCGATCTATAAGCAGTTGTTCGCGAAGTTTTAAAAGATTCTGTAAATTGTTGGAGTAAGACTCATCCGCATTAGTTAATTGTTTAGCCTATATGAGCAGTAAATCATGAAATATGTGATAAACAAACATTTGATAAGGACTTACCCAACCTTTAAGTAATAAATTTCGAACTCTTCTGTTATATAACAAGTGTTGAAATCTCCTCTTAATGTCTGAACTGGAATTTCTTAAAATTGTTTTACCTACAAGAATTGTCTGAGTTTATTTTTGTTTTTTTTTTTTATTGTGGATATACATCGCCAATATACTAACACTTGTAGCTGCGTCTGATGAGCTTATGCAAATAAATAATTGTCAAATTTTCTATTGAACTCAAAGAATTATAAAAATAACTTGGTGTCCTAGTCGGTAATTGCCAGCAGACCTTATATGCTACTTTATTTTTTCTCATTTTATTACGAAAAGTTTTAGAGGAAAAATTGACAGCTTTTATTTTTGTTTTTAACGCAAGTATAAAGTTATAGCGATACTTAAAAACCGATTGCCGCTGTTGCATAAAAGGCAACATAGTGCTACTTCTGCCCTCTAAAGTTCTTTCAAAGTAAATCTATTTATTTCAAGCTGTTCAGTTTCCATATATTTTACGTTCCACTAATATTTAATAGAACGATGACTGAAAGAGACCTGCAATAAAAATAAAAAGCAGTTTCAATTATTTTTCTCTATGAATTTTAAGAGGTGCCTCTTAATATATTTATATACTGTGTTATTCACGATGGACGTGAAACTGGCGTCAGATAAAATTACCTAATTTAAAATAAACCGTTTAAATAAATGTAATTGACGTTTTACCGTATTTTAGGTATTCCCGTAAATTGCCATACCCTTCTTCCGGCTAGAAGTCATCCGCTCTCCGATTCTCTACCCGAAAGTTACGATTATTGGTATTGGCTCAGTTCCTCGCCTGAATAACCGCGATAAAGGGCTGCTGCGCGCGGACTCGCGACATGGCACGATTGGTCTCTCGGAAATGGAAATTATTCTGTTATCACAATTTTATCGCAAGATTACTCTGTCATTGTGGCTACTATTAGGCTATTATGATGGACAGTCCTTGCGAGGGCTTCACCAACATGCTAATTGAACATGCCTCCATAGCGCTTCTTACCGCAAGCCATTCCGGGCTCCCGCTTCGGGGGCTTTAACACGCCTCAATCACCTCAACTAATCAATTTGCCGAGTTGGATGACACTGGCTCTAATATGAGCAAAACAATTCTTGTACAAGCCAAGGACATGCCCACGTATAGAGCTGTAGCCAAGAAACTTGCAGCTAATTGACGTTAAGCCCTATAGGGTGGGTGTGCATGGATTACATCATTTCACATTGCACCATCTGATAAAAGGAGATGTGCTAAGCCTGAAGCCAAGGCCACTGACAGACGGACTGATATGCAGGCCCCGAGATCAAGTTCTCAATCTTTTGCCCGCTCTGCTATCAAATGTGCATCTTGAATTGCAATGCTAACTGCATTTCAGCGTCAAGCGTCGGAGCTTAAATGCTTAAGCAAACAAACGTGTAGCGCCAGCTGCACTTGGTTGTTCCCTAGACGGGCACTCCCGACTAGAACCCTCGCTTGTTCTCATTGAATTGGCCCAGCGTATTACTTCTATGTAGTCCTAGCCGGGCACTCTTGACCAGGTAAGTCATACTCTTTAAAATTCTGGCAACTAAACGTATAATTATTTGTTTTTCCATACTGCTATAAATACCTGTTACATACTACTTCCAAAGTATTTGTGTTAGTTTTCCTTACATAGCTCACACAGTTCTCATAAGTATCAGAATTATAACATTTTTAAAACTAGGAAACGACTACACAAATTTTATTTAGTATGTATTAATGTTTTATGTTTTAATTAAAATTCTTCATGGCAATCTATATTTGTATTTGAATGTCAAAAAAAAAAAGTAAAGGTTCCCGAAAAAGAGCCGAGGGCAAGTTGTTTCAAACATTTAAGCTTCCTATCATACATATATTATCAAATCAAAGACGCAGACTATGCTGACTCAGAAGAAAAATGTCCCGCACGTTTCTATACCCTGTATTTTGTTAATTGACCTAAATGAACTATTTGGCTATGAAAGAAGGCCATTAAAGTAGGATCTCATAGAGTGGGTTAGGTATAAAAACCTATATATACCAGAGCTATACATATATATATATATATATAAATATATATATACCTATATAGATATAGATTTATTATTCTAAGTTTTTATTTCATTTATTTTTTTTACAGTCAGTAATGAAAATGAATACAAAAATATTTGATTTTCATAAGATTCACATATGTCAGGATAATTATAACACATAGGGTCAAGAAATGAATTTTTCAGCATCTCTCGAACATAAAATTGAGTTTATCAAATGATAGTTGGCAGGAACCATATTAACTGAAATTATAAAGAAAACAAACAAATTATTAGGTTAAATAAAGAAAAATAAATGCAGATATATTACTCATACAACTTCTTAAAATATGTAAACGAATAATATATTTTACATATTTACATGTAAAAAATATTTGATTTTGTGTATGTACACTGCGTAGATTTTATAATCTGCGAGAAATGTTAAGAGAATAATGCTGCAGATAAGCAATTTTCTCATTCGCAGCAAATATTTATAGTTCGATCCGAGTATGGCAAACGAAAAGTTTTATTCCCAGTTTGGGGTCGTCCATACCTGAGAGCAACATGCTAAACAGACAGACGAATATATCTGGGATCTGGCTTTTGATGCTGCTTTATGGCCTGTTTCTTAAGTACATTTACCATTTCCAGCAGGGTATACAAGTTAGAGAAATACAATAATAATTAGATACTTACTCTCTCGCTAAATGTGCACCCGTGTCCGTTGACAAACATCCAGCGCCACCGCCAAAGCCATAGCCCTTAGGTCCATACTTGCGTCCATGGCAATTCTTACAGAATAGTGTCTTTTCATGCTCAGTGCAATTTGTTGAGTCCAAAGCCTTATTGCACATACCTTTGAAAAAATGACCAATTTGTATCTGTGCTGTTCAATAAGAGGGTCAAAGAGCTACTTACTGCATTTAAAACAAGTTTTATGGAATTTGTAGCCACCAGCGACGCGCTCTTCAGCGGCGTACACGGACTTGCCGCACGCTGGGCATTTGGGTGTCTCTACCGGAACGAATGGCATTATATTATATCTGCAAGAGCTGTTTTAAATAAATATATTTTTATGATTATTTCGAGGGCAATCAATTATAATATGCGTCAACTTTTTTCAAAAGTATATGCGTAATGTAAGAGCTTTGGTTCTATAAATACATTTAACACTTGTACATACCAACAATGGTACACTTGTAAAGAAGTTCCTGTATGTCAAAGACGATGCCGACTAAACTGGAAAGATTCTGTACTCTGGTAGTCTATATTTGTGGATGCACACGGCACAACAAAAAATATGTTTTGTTAGAAATGCGGCAATAAAGCGATAAATATAATCGACAGTTTTTTGTTTGGCTTTTGATTTCTACGTAACCAGTATGAAAAAATCTATATTACAATTATTTATCTAACATTTATATTTATATTAACAATGAAGTAAAATATTATAGCTGTTACATGCTGTACATTCCTAACTTTTCATACATATATCCCCCCCTGTGCTAAAACAATTCAGAGCATATTCAAATATAGATTATTCTGCAACCATGCATGTACAACAACGTGCAGTCGGATGTATCCGACTCTGGAACGCTCTTAGCTAGCTGTATTTACTTATTCCATTAGCCGAACGGGGTCTTAAATATATTATAAGCTTGGCGACTCATTCTCTGTAGTGCATTTATTTTTAGCCAGATCTCTGGATGACGTCATCAGCAGTCTACATGCAAAATGAGATGGCTCCAGAGTGAGCATGGACTGATATTTTCTGGCTTCAATAACGCGGCATCCAATATTACGCTTAAACAGAGAGACGGCCGGGCAGACGGTATATGTAAAAACCACGTATGCCCTATGTGAACTGGGGATAAAAATACACCACATATTCAATCATCAGTACAGACGTATGTATACATATACATACATATATGCAGGTTTGTATATGCAGACAATGCTTATAAATATAAATAAATGTTGTACACAAACATTCGAAAATGTACATGTGTATGCATATATGTATATACTTATGCATGTATGTTATAGATTTGTATCGGTATTTAATATTTCCTTCCCCAATGCACAGTGGTTGTACTTGTGTGGAGAGCGCGGCCAAAAATGCTTCTATTGAAACTTTTGGGCTATAACTTTTAGCTGTGAAGACGGTCAAGAATAAAATCTGTAATATGATTAGGAGATTCCTTAAACCCTGCTGTGCTAAGATTCTTACCATAACATAGTATTACATCCTTTTATCAGAAGGAAGCATCTCCGACCCCATGTAATATTATATACACGTATCAATTATCGTTCATTTTATAGATATTGCCACAAGAGGGCATGAAGCTTTTGGAAAAGTATACACAGATCGAGCATCTTTCATTTTATATTTAGACATTAACAGCTCCGCTTCCACCGCATACTTATAAATAAATCAATTGAAACAGCCCACACATTTAAGCCACAATTTTAATGCAATTGCGAATATTCTATAGCACAATAATATAGGCTCCTGAAAATTTCATCGAGATCGGCTAAGAAATACAGAAGCTATTAAAGAAAACGTATCTTAATGTGGACTTAGAAGCCACGTGTCTGCGGCAGCTTTCGCAAATTTAGCAAATGTATTGTATTTATGTGTTGCTATTTTAGTTATTTTTTTCCGTTCAAGAAATAAGACTGGAATGACTTTCAGGTAGAGGTTACGTATTCAGCTCCGATTGCAGGATCATTTTTTTTTCAACTTCATTTTATTACTTCTAAAGAAAACGAGCTCGTGGCGCAAGCTGTATTTGGTGTTGGATGAAAAGCTTTACGTGGTACGGTCCATTTTATTGCTATTTTTGGTGTTTTTTTTATCCATGTCTGCCACGCTTCGGGCGAACTGACAATCAAAACCGATGGTTCCTATATAACCCACATATCCTTGGATTTACCATACAATTGATGTAGTCCTGGTCAACCTAAATCTCGAAATATTTCAATTTCTCAATATTTGATCGGAATTGGTTCAGAAATATGAATATGCATGAGCTTCTTTCCCCCTCTCTATGGTTCCTAGATGACCCACATATCTTTAGTTTTACCATACCATTGATAGAGTCCTAGGAACCTATAGTGCCAAATCCCAGCAAAATTTGCCTGAAAGCTTTATCCACATTTAAATTAAGGTTTAACAAGTTAATAACCGTTAAGGTTGCAAAATACCATTGTAGTAGCGCTCGGCCATTAGCTCTTATTTTAAAATCAAAATTCAGCTGAAATACCAGGCGAACAGAAGTGCCCAGAAGGTAGATTCACGTCTACTGTTAATCAGCAGCTTTTATTTAACATCTCACTGTTAACCAGCAGCTGCAGCTGTTACTTAACATACCCCTGTTAACAGCCGCTGCTCAGAAGGGGGCGTTAGATTTGTACGGAAATTTGGCAAAAATACCAGGCGAACAGAAATTCCCAGCAGGTAGATTCACAGAAAAATTTAGTTTAATAGTTGACTGTTAATCAGCAGCTGTTATTTAACAGTTCACTGTTAACCAGCAGCTGCAGCTATTACTTAACATACCCCTGTTAACAGCCGCTGCTCAGAAGGGGGCGTTAGATTTGAACGGAAATTTGGCAAAAATACCAGGCGAGCAGAAATGCCCAGCAGGTAGACGAACTAAAATTTTTGTGAATCAAAAATTTCATTGCATACCCAAACGGGGCGGGCGGAGGAGCAGCTGGTTGCTTAAGTTTTAATTAAAATTCGGAGGAAGTACCAGGCGAACAGAAATGCCCAGTAGGCAGACGAACTAAAATTTTTGTTCCCAATAGTCAACTGCTAAATTAATGATCACAAATTTTAATGGCCACAACATTCTCTTAAGCTGCAGCAATGTAAAAAGGGGACTGAAAGCATGAAGTATACTTATTTTCGGACTGTTTCCGTACGCATTTTGCGGGGATTTAGTCCTTTAGGTTCGCCAGGACTATATAAATGCTATGGAATTACCAAGGATATTTGGGTCATCTAGGAATCGAGGGATAACTTCTGTTCATTACATTACCCGGTGTGTAAGGTAGTCACATTAGTCACAATAGATATTATAGCTTCAACACGTAAGTAATAGACTTTATTTACATATATATTTACTAAGTTTATTTAGTGGATATACATTTTAGCTGTGTGGAATGACAATCTGTTCTTATTTGGTATTTACCGCTACTTTTCAGAGATTTTTCTAGCCTAATAAATAAATAAGTCAAAAGTAATTTAAAGAAAAAACTATAACTAAATTACTTTGATTATTGAGAAGACCATTCGTTTATTGAATAAGGACTTCCCATATATTGTTGTTGGCGAATTGATTCGTTATTTGATTGGTGGCTTCCAACTGAATTCCAGGGTTGTCTAGGAAAGACATTTGAGTTAATATATGATCCGGAACTACCGCTATACCCAGCCGGTGAATGGAAATTGGAATGATAGGGAGCGAAATTAAAATGTCCATAAGGGGCATAATTATTAATATGATAGTTGGCTGTTGAGGGTGTATTCTTATTGTCGTAGTAATTATAATATTGGGGTGTGAACGTGTGTGGAACATTTTTACTTGAAAAATATGATTCTTCCGGCAAATCGTTGTTAGAAGCTATAGGCTGTTGATGTATTGCACTCGACTGAATATTAGCAGAACTACTATAAGGTTCGACAATAGGTAACTGTGCTTCATGCTTGTACGGTTGCTGCTTATGGTATTCCAAATTATCATGCATCTGGTGCAGACTTGCTGGCATGCTGTTTAAGCTTTCGATTTCATTATTATTTTGCAAAATTTGAGTTTTATTTTGCTGTAGATCATCTAAAATGCCTGTTCTAGGTAATGGTGGATCAGACGGTTCGACTGGTAAACATTCCGTGTTATTGACTTCATTTGTTTTTCGCACAGTTGATGTTTCCACGGGTTTCTCTGAAATCAAAGAAAAATATATTTTATAAGTAAGAACAACTCTCTATCGCTAGTCTTAGCGTTGGTCACCAAGCATTATCAGTTATACAGTCAAGACAAACTCTTTTATATAAGCATGTAGACAAGGATTACATTCTTACCTTGCTCTGGCGATGTAGGTTTTGCAACATCTGTGTCGCAGTCTGATGTTATGTCAATTACGTCTTCTTTGTTGGTTTTTTCTTCATCTGAGCGCTTGGATGTTGTTCTGATTGCGATAATTTTTCCACTATCTAATTGCATATATATTCCTTTCGCTGATTTTAACACCATAACTCTTTGGCCGGCCTTGAGTATTATATTAGATTTTTCCGATGAATTAGTAGGTATGACAACATCTGAAAAAGGAATTGTATTCGAGACATTTAACGATGAGAATAAATATAACAAAACCGTATTGTAATATAAAAACGTAATAAGGCTGCTCTTAACGAACGACCGATCAGACCCCTAAGAACTGGTGCTATCGAATCACGAAATTATTTTACGTATAATATATACGGTTAAAGCTATAGCCTACAGGTTAAAGATAAGGTGGACAAAAATACCATGGATGGAAGTCGGATACCTTGGAGCTGACAAGGAAACTAGCTGCACTTGGAAACGTCGACGACTCAAAGCTGGGCGTCACCGATGATGATTGCACGATGAGAAAAGATAGCATCCCTGGGAGAGGGGGGGTGGCGTAGAGCGGAGCGGCAACTCAAGGAGGCCCTTCGCAGGTTCTAAGCCGTATTCTTCTCCAGCAGGTTGGAAAGAATGGTCTACACCCACGACGCAGAATACTCGCTCTGGCAAGCCACAAATTGACCTTGCGCCGAATGACGGGAGCTGACTGGTAGGTCAGAAATTCAACCTAGCACAAAGACCTCAAAGTGGCGACCATAGACAGCCGGTACAACGAACGCTTGCAGTGGCACTGCAACCGGGTAGCAAAGAACCTCGTTGGGAAGTGTGTAGTCAGAAGGCTTTAAGAGAAGATCGTTCAAGGTCCTCCTCCAACTACGAAAGACGAGACGCCCCACACAACATGCAGTTAACATATCAGTTCTGAATAAACCCTCCACGAATTTGCAACGGAATCACCTTTTTCTAACGTGAAGTACTCTGAGTTGTGAAATCTGTATATTCCGCCCACCACAATGCAAAGATAACTTATTTTTTAACAATATAATATGCTTTAAGACTTTACTTACCCAGGGGTAACGTCATTTCTTGAGCAGTCATTCCTTGTCTTTGCCACACTTCGGCAGGTATCCAACGGGTCGATCGACCTCCACTAACAGGG